TTATAGGAGTTATATTGGGGTAATATTGGGATAATGGAAAAGAAAATGGAAACTACAGGGATTATAGGAGTTATATTGGGGTAATATTGGGATAATGGAAAAGAAAATGGAAACTACAGGGATTATAGGAGTTATATAGGGGATATAGGGTTATATTGGGGTTATATATAGGGATAATGGAAAAGAAAATGGAAACTACTATAATATATTGGGGTTATTTAGGGACAATGGAAAAATGGAAGCTACTAAGCCCAAACCATCTAAACCCTCTTAGGGTTTAGGGTGTAGGGTACGTACCCCAAATAAGCTGTAGTCTAACGAGTTTCCTCCTTGATAAGCCCTCCTATAATGGTCTCCTGTATGACGCCCCTTTACGGAGTTTTCACTACAACTCCAAAAACCCGAAATCCTAAACCCCCTACCCTACAACCTCAAAGCTGCTCCTGAACCGCACGCAGTATGATGGAGAAATCTGGCTGCGGCTTTTCCTAGCCGAGCAAAAAGCTTGTTTTTTTTTTCTTCTTTAACCACCCCGTTGACTCTCTTCGTGTCTAGCATTAGCTTGTTTAGGGTTTAGGGTTTTACGGGTTTAGGGTTTGTTTTAAGGAGCGGGTATCTCCACAATAGTAAAGATTCTTGTAATTCTCATCAGAGTAGTCATTTATAAGGGGGGTCCTCTTGCTCACCCCAAACTGTTAAAATTGTGGCAGGGGCTTCCCCGCAAGGGAGTTCCGAGTTGAAACTTTTGGGCTCAGAGAGGGACGAACCTGTGTAGACCAATCCTTCACCAGAAATAGTCAACGTCTGTCCGTTTGGACGAATGTGAACGTTCAGGGAGCGGGCAAGTGGAGAGTTACAGACTACTTGTGTCTGGACTTTCCACTCTTGGCGCGAGTAGTTGTGGATCAGTAAGCAGCAAGGATCATGCAATGGAGGTACACGTGATGACAGGCCCGCAGATGATATCACACTGATGTATTGGCCATACATGCGCAGAATGCAGCAGATTGATTGCATGCGCCACAGAATACAGATGTAGCTTACATAAAGAGGGGAACCCCAATAAAGACCTCCATATACATTAATCCATAGTATACGTAGTCCCAAAAAGGAATCATTCACAGCTGCCGCCTGCAAGGACTTGATCGCTGATGCCATGTTCTCGAAGTCCGCTGCATGCTGAAGCTGATTTTGCTGTAGAGACCGCAGGAAGTCACGAACTTCATCCAGGCTGAGCTTGATATCTGCATCTAGCCGTGCCTGCGGACAGGCAGTTGAATCTGAGACCTCCATGGCCTTTTGTCTGCAGCAAGCTTTGGACATTTAAAAATCAAAAGCAGTAGCAAATACAGGAATAAACCGGCACCTGCAGGTCCGCCAAGCTCCCCTCCTGAGGCAGTAGCGGACTGGAAGCACAAATGCATACAGCAACACCGAACCAAGAACAAACAACAGCTCTTGGTGTAAATGCAGTGTCCAGACTACTCCAGAGATCAGCCAAGCTTCTAGATGGAGTTTCTGCGCCGCTTGGCCCTCAAGGATCTCTGAAAGATTGATTTTGATGTCTATGGACTGCATGCCCTCCAGCACCGTAGACGCAAGAGCCTCCCAGACACTCAGAAGAATCGGCAAGGGCCATGAGGCATCCTAAGCATCCCTAAACAATAAACCCCTAAACCCTGAACCCTGAACTCCTAAACCCCTAAATTGTGAACCCTAAACTGCTAAACACTAAACCCCTAGACCCCAACACTTAACCCCAAACTCCTAGACCCTAAACCACATGTACCTCTTTGGACTCAGAGTGTAAAGCGTCTTGCAGATTCCTGGGTTCTTGTTGACATACGATAAAAAGAGATCGTGTTCATTCTATATTGGGCCCAGATATGCATAAAAATGTAAAAGCCCTAAGCCCTTAACCCCTAAATGGTAGTTTCCATGTTCTTTTCCATTATCCCTATATTACCCTATATTACCCCAATAGTACTCAATAGTACCCAATATTACCCAATGTTATTCAACCCTAAACCCTAAGCCCCTCGACCCTAAACCCTAAACCGCAGAAATATTCAACAAGGACCCAGATTCTGGAAGGTGGCAGCAACCTCACCGGAGTGATTGACCTGGACTGCCAAGCTTACTGGGGGTTAGTGGGAAGTAGGGGTTAGGGTTTAGGGGTCCAAGGTTCTTTAGGGGCTGGTAGGGGATAAGGGATTATAGTACAGGGATTCTATGGGGGTTATATAGGTATTATGTAGAAAATGTATAGGGATAATATGGGGAATATATGAGGATCATATTCCCTTGTTCCCACCACTAAGCAAAAGCTGCAGCAGCAATCCCTGTGCCTAGGGATATATGATACAGAGGGAAAGATAGCGCTTCGCTGGGAAGTCAAATGGAAAATAAAATGGAAACTACTACTTAAGGTACAGGGCACATAATGGAGAATCAAATGCAGCATAAAATGTGGCAAACAAAATGGAAACTGGGGCTTCGACCAAGTAGTCTTTGAGCTCTCCAACATCCGTCCGTTGGTCCCGGATCGCGTTCAGCACTTCGAAAACAATGTCCTGGTGTCTGGGCACTATGGCAACAGCTTTCCAAAATCAAGCTCTGATGGCCAAAGAAACCCAGAACTAAGTCGCAAAAATGATGGAAAGTCAAATGAAAGCAAGCTTATAGGAATATTTATATGTATATTTAATGGGGATAGATAATTCAGAACAAGACGGAACATCAAATCGGAGATGAGATGAAACTTGGAGTTCAGAGCTGTTTCTGCCCCAAGCCCTAAACCCCAAACGCCAAACCCTGAACCTCCCCCAAACAATCCCCCTGAGGCAGCTGCTACCTTTGTGTCACGAAGGCCTCGAAGCACGGGCGTGAAGTCGACCTGCACTTTCCTTGGCTCAATGACTTACTGGGGGTTGTTCGGGAATTAAGGGATATGATCTCCACATAATCCCTATCTTTGTTCTATATAATCCCTACGCGATCCGCATATAATCCCCATATACTGCCCGTATTATCTATTGATTACATTGCCTTAGTCCCTTCTGACCACCAGTATGGTGACAAGCCTGGTTGGATAGAAAATGGCGAAGCGAGCCAATGGTAGCAACATGTAGCAACTCTGCACAACCTACTAATGCTTAAGGGGGAGCGAGGGAGTGAATATAGGTTCCATTATAGGGGTGTGTACGGGGATTATATTAGTGATTTGTTATAGGGACCCGCTACCCCCCCTCTCCCTTAAGCGTCAGTAAGACAAGCCAAGAAGCATTTCCTGTACGTTCTTGATGAGAGATTTTATATCCTCAGTAAGCTCAGTGCGATCGTTGTGCTTCTTGATGGCTGCAATGACATCTGTGAAGTCGACGTGGACCTGTTAAGGGTTTAGAGTTTAGGGTCGGGGTGGTTTAGGGTTAAGTTGGGATGAACCTGTACAATCTCAAAGCAAGCTCAAGGACGCACAGGATTGGATTCCTATCCCTAAACCCTCTTCTGGCATATTGGAACCAACTTGCCTCCTGCAAATGTGGCAGTATACATGAATGACTTCGCCACCCTCTTTTCTTACTGGGGGATAGTAGGGAATAAGGGAAAATTAGAGCTTTGGGTTAGCAATCAATAGGGGAATATATCATATAGAGGCCATACAAGGATTATATTCCCTTACTCCCTACTAACCACGACCAGTAAGTTTTGGTCCCGCCTTGTTTTCCGCAATCGCTTCAAACACTGGCGAGAAGTCAACCTGTACAATCCACAGATGGTGCGCGGCTTTTCCAGCCCCAAGGGAGCAGCTGCTTGTGTGTAGAGCAAAATAAGATATAGGTCTGAGGATGTTTGCTAGGGAACCCTATCAGTCTGCTCTTGCAGGAAGAGATTTTACATGATTGCAGGGCCCAATCCTTGGCTTCCTTCTCCTCCGTTACAGTCTGCGTCAGAATGGAGAGCTGCTGCGAAAGGCGAGCAGTCCTCAACAGCGTGCAAGGAATCACCTAGTTAATCTGGTCATCGTCGTCGCAATGACAACTAGGTCTGCAACAACGAGTAGAAACCCACAGCAGCAAAGATCCGATTATACCGGCACGTGACGACGATGATGATGATGATGATTATAGTTATTTTTATGACAACTCCAAAGACCCACAACGGAAAACCGCGACAGATGACGACAACAATGATGATCTCGTTCTTCTATCATCATTGTCATCACCGCTCATGAGGTTTCCTGGCAGTAAGTGCCGCCCCCAACATGCAGATCAACTCTGCTGTCAAAGCACTGGTCTTTCAGGACAGTGAGGCCAGTCTGCAAGACGTCCTGGCTTTGGTCCTCCGGCACAAGCCAGCTTCTGCATTCAGGGCTTGGGGCTGCTGACTCACATGGTAGTTCCCCAAAAAAAGGGGGACCCCAACATAGACTCCAAAATACTGCACTCCTTATTATTGGGGCCACAAAAAGGTAGCCCTAATGCTGAAAAATCCCGCACGGTCATTCCGGGCTTGGCTGCTTGGTTTGGGCCCGCCTGCAGCAGTTCCAGAATTCTGGTATCGGACTCCGCGAATTGTTGCAAGGACGTCTGCCTCAGTGCAAGCTTACCTTTCCAAACGGTCCAGAAGCGGTCCATCGAGTGCGAAAAATCAAGATCCTATCTCTCGCCAAAAAAACATGTTTTTGAAAAAGGATCTCCTGTCTTTGGGATCCTCAGAAAAGCACTCCCATCGTTTGGGAGATTGGATTCGTCTTCTGAAGCAAAACCACAGGTTACCAGGCTCCCACGCCGAGGAGCAGTCCTTCTTTGATCGTTTGGCAAGTCGTCTCTGCCGCATCTTCTATGCTTGACAGGACAGTGGTGAAATCCACCCTCATCTTCCTTAGCGGGTGGCTTTTTTGGAGCCAAGTATTCATTGAAAGCTTATGCCCAAGAGGAGGGCACCATTTTCCTCTCCGTTGATTCAATGGGGAACGGTTGTATCCCCAATTCAAGAACTACTCAGCTGACTATTTGGAAGTAAGTGGTACCATCATGGCAGCTACCGTCAACATTAGGGCCCAGAGTTACCAAGGGTCTACTAAGGGTGGACAGTGCACACTGGGGTCCCTTTGATGATGTAGCCAGGCCCTAACAAGAAGCCCGTTCATTAAGTATATCAGAGGTTTTGGCTGTAGCTCATGTCAAAACAAAGCTGGCTGCGCAATCCAGGACTCGTCGTCTGCAACGCCTGCAGCACTTCGGAGAAATCGATCTGCCCTTGCTTGCGATCTATCTCTTCCAGGATCGCTGCAAACTGCTGGGACATGTCCTCTTGTAGAGTCAATTCCTTAGACAAACTCCCCAAGTGCTTCAAAGAAGTTGCGCAGAGATCTACAAGTTACAAGCTGTAACTTGTCTTCACATTGCCCCATGCTCCCAGCCCACTTCACTCAGCCACGGTTTCACTCACAGCTTGGAGCACAGGGGATAAATCCACAGTGACTCGATTCTCGCGGATGCACTCCAGAACTGGGCTGAAGTCGATCTCCGGCTGCCTTGGACTTGCAACTGATTTAGAGACGGGCCAAAATGCAAGCAGCTGATCTAAGCTTCTTCTAGTCGCCCTTTCCTAGAGATCCGACGGGATTATGTCTGTATGCGAGCACCATCGCAAACTCTTGCGAGCGCATAGTGCTGAGGTGATGTAACCGCTTTTTGTGAAAGCCTTTGGGCGGTGTCAACCTGCAGAGGCCATCTGCCCTCCAAAACAACACACATATGAGATATATTCTAAACTCCTTAAAGGGGGTTATATAGGGGATTATATGGGGGACTACTATGGGGGTAATAAAGGGCCATACTAGGAGTTTAGACTACAGTTCCTATCGTGAATGCGCAAGATGGGAAACCCAAGATGCGACAGTTTTGGGGTTTAGGGTATGGCAGCCTCAAGAAATTCCATAGACAGGGACGTTCGGGATCAATCCTCAACCCTGTAGACCTGTTTAACTCCTATGTAACCCCTGTGTAATCCCCAAGTTCACCCCAATATAACCCCTGATGACCCCTATGTAATCCCTACATACTCCCTACACAACCTTAAAAAAAAAATAATAGCAATAATCGGAATAATCGTAATACTTGTGTAAGAGTAGTAGTAAGAATAAGAATAACAATACCAGTACTAAGAATAGTAATATTCAACTTGCAGTTGCAGGTGCTGAGCCCACACCGCAGGAGGCAATGTCTCCAGTTCCTTCGCGATCTGCCCCTGGCACAGTCACTGCCATGTGGTGGCTTCCACAAATAGTAGTGTTTAGGTTTTTAATGCTCTTTTTCTCAGGACCCTCTAAAGGAACTCCTAATTTTGGGAAACTTCCATCTAAAATTCACACTAAGCCCCTAAACCCCTAAACCCTAAACCATCCCCTCTCCCTTCCCCCCCTCAAGGGTTGCATCAGTGAGAAAGCGAAGTCCTACCTTCAGATCCTCGAGGCAGATCAGCATCCTCTCGGTAGGCGCGTGCACATCGTTGCTAGCCTCATCTCACAAAACAAGTAGGCGTTTTGAAGAATTAGAAGTCCCTTTCTGGGGGTCCCCGTAATAAGGATAATAGCGTTTAGGGGTCTACCATCTCACCCAAAGCATATGATTCCCTGCTTTACTGGGGAGTTACAGGGGTACATGCGGGAATGGCAAAGAAAATCTAAGTGATCATGCTATTTAATATTGCCTTTGCAAACACTTAACAGCTGCAAATCTTTACGAGAGCGCTGGCGCGGCTCACGTGAGCCTTTGAACAAATCAGGGCACCGGATACCATGCTAGGCCTAAACCCTAAACCCCAAACCCTAAACCCTAATCCCTTAACCCTAAACCCTAATCCCTAAACTCTAATCCCTAGGCCATGCAGGCAGCGATGGCTTCCAGCACAGGGGTGAAGTCCACCTCTGCCCTCCGGTCTTGGACTTCTCCCTGGATCTTGCCTGGGCAAAGTACTGAAGTTATCAGCACTGAGGTGATTAATACACTCCCAAAAAGTAAAATGGAAACCCAAAGAGGGCCCTACAAAGACCACACAGTCCTTCTAAAAGGGAACTATATGGGTTTCCATGTTGGTTTGGGGGAGTGTAAGTTTGCAAGATTTCACGAGGCACTTTACAATGGAATCTCCTGCTCAAGCCGTAAGAAAACAAAAAGCCTTCAGCCTCTGACTTGGGGGCCGAGGCGTCAAAAAACCCTCGAAACTTGGTTGCACATGCTGCTGCAGAGCTGCGCATGTCATTGCCCATTTCGGAGATCTGTGCCTGCTACAGGAAGTCTGTTCGACTACAGGGGTTTAAGGTTAGGAGATCATGTGTTGGCTCAAAAGAGAGAGCGACCTCGTTTGATGAATAGACAATGCTTTCGTGATTTGAGAGGCCAGGACAAGGGAAGTGTAGGCAAGCTGCAGTGAAACCTGTACTCCAAGGAGTCAGATGCATACATGTTTGCAGGGAAGCGGGCCTAATAATCCCCTCTAAAGCGATCCCTCAAGATCCCTACATACCCTCTTCAAGGAATTCAAGCTATAGCTCATATCACTACTTGCTGATGCTGTTGACCATGCGGGCGGAAGCGGTGGTCCTCGAGGCGGGCGATTGCTTGTTTGAAGGCATCTGCTGGGATGATCTCCTGGACACGAACTTGCTGCTGCTTAGTAGGGAATAAGGGAATATATGATATAGGGGATATATAGGGATTGTATTCCTTTATTCACTACTAAGAACCCGTAAGCAACAGGTGTAGCACTAGCAGCAGTAAGCAGCAGTAGCAGTCCGAAGCTTCACAAGAATTGCTACACTACGGCAGCAAGAACAACAGCAGGAGCAGAAAGAGCAGCAGCTGTGAGGAGTGGGAGGAGTAAGGAAGAGTAGTAGGAGGAGGGAGGAGGAGACGGATGAAGAGCTGGCAGTGACAACTGGCAGTAGTAGATAGGTAACTCCCAAAACTAGGGTCCCATTCTTGGTAACCCCAAATCTTAAGGTGCCGTAACATAATCAATAATCAAAAGGGGCCCATAATTTTGAGAACAACCCATATGTTCAGACCCAATGCAATTTCGCCATGTAGCGATACAGATAGAAACGCACACAAGCAACTTTCTTCAATTGAGTAGTGTTTTTTGGTGGTTAAACCCAGTAAGATTATGTTCCTTATATAGATACTATACCCCAAAAGGAGGATAGAATCTTACTCTATATTGGGTACCATAGTATCCCCAAAGAAGATACTACCCTAAACCCTAGACCCTACTACTATATAATCCCAGCTTCCATTTCCTTTTCCATTTTATTTTCCATTTGATTCTCCATTATAGGGGTAATATTACCCTAATGTATCCCCAAATTACTTGGGTGCCAAGGCCAGCGGTCAAGCAACAGAACTCCTGGATTCCCTCTAAGAGACTGGAGAAGTCGATGTCCGAGATGATGTCGCGGAACGACTGAAACATATCTTCAAGGTCCGACCGATTTAGAGTCTTCTCCTCAGTCAGCTGTTGAAGCTGAAGATGCATGTGGTGAAAGGGAGGATCTATGTTTGGTGGGGGGGGGCTTCATGATCATCCATGGGTCTCTTTTAGCACCTTCTACTCTTTTACGTCAAGAACCTGGCGGCATCTCATTTGCTGTATGCTACTTTTAGCTCCTCATGGAATGATCCTTGAACCTACGTTGTGCAAAACATACACTGGTAAACTTTTGGATAGAGCAAGCCCCGAACATGTTCAACGCCCGTGCCAGGTAAGGACCAAGATTTCCGGCGCCAGCCGCTTTTCGTGGTTTGCATATGGCCAAGCAAGAGAGGAAATCGAAGATTGCCTTTACGCGCTGCAAACGCGAATCCCAAAAAAAGAGCTTTGGCTTCAGAAAGCCCAGCGGATGTTGAGTACCTAAGCCTCGAACCCTGACTTCCTGAAGATGTAGCAGAGTAAATTTGTTGGGGAACGCGCAGGGGGGCCTTCCAGAAAAAGAAAAGCTCAAAAGAAATACTTCAAACACCAGCCTTCTTAACAAATTCCGAACCTCCCTAAACTCTAAACCCTAAACTCCTGTCAAACCCTTTGCAAGCCAGCTTTTTTCCTCACTCTAAACAAGCTGTCCAAGCTCCCGACACCCCAAATCCTAAACCTTGGGTTCGGCCCCCACCCAAATAGTTTAGGGTTTAGGGTTGCCCAAATAGGGACCCAAGTACGATTACCAATATCCCTTGATGTCACGATTATTGGGTGCTCCCTAACCTAACCTAGACCATAAAAGGTAGCTTATAACCTGAACCCTAAAACCTTAAATCTCCTAAACCCTAAAACCCTAAATCCCCTGAACGCTAGATCCCCTAAACCCTAAATCCCCTGAACCCTGAAACCTTAAATTCCCTAAACCCTAAATCCCTAACTTAACTCTCCTAAACTCTGAGATGGCAGCTGAGCCCCGGACCGAGTTGAACTGCATTCTCCGACCGCTCGGCGTTCGGCTCGGCAGTCGATTCAAAGACTCACCAGCCTGCTTTTAGGGTGTAGCGTTTAGGGTACTGCAGGAGGTTATAGGGCATAGGGATAATGGGCAAGAAAATGGAAGCTACCATAGCATACTCAACAGCGTGCTTGGAGTACGCGGTTTGGGTCTGGTTCCTAGTACAGAATAGGGGAATGTAATTCCTACGTAGTTCCTATGTAATACATTCCCTTGTCCTCTACTAAATCCTACTCAGAACCAATAAGTTGTAGGGTCAGGGGGACGAAGTGAGTAGGCTAGCAATGGGGATAACTGGTGCCATTTTCTTGCCTTTAGGGGCTTTAAGTATACTTCCTAAGTCCCCCTGACACTCCGAGTAGGCACGGAAGGAACTATGTGACAGAGGGCCTGCACAAGATGACCGCCCTTGCAGCTAAGTAACAGCCACAAAAGCCATGCCAAAGCAAAATATAATCCAACTTGATTGATTGTAGATGGGACAGAACTACAAGAACAGACGGAACTCTTCTCGTCGGCCGTGCCTTGATGCTTGAGATCTCCTCGCTTATCTGCGAGACAGCATCAGATAGCGCCTTCCATGCGAGCCATGGGGGTAGTTCCCCAAATTAGGGTCCCACTTTAAAGCCCCTAAATATTAGGTGCCAAAAAAATGTAATCTTTAACCAAAATGGGACCTTAATTTTGGGAACTACTACAGGGGCCTAAGTTAAATAATGACCTTATGTTGAGGTCCATATGAGGTACCGTATACTATCATTATACAAGGAATATGGAACCATAATATTGGCAATTATCCCTACACCCTAAACCCTAAATACTAAACCCTAAATCCTAAACCCTATTCAGGCCCCTATATACCCATGGAACAGCAGCTTCGACTCCCGGGAGAGACATGCAACAGCGCCTGAATTGAGTCGTTCGTGCGCTTGAATTCCTTGGCCGTCATGAAGCACAACTTGCGATCAGGAAGGTATGGATAATAGGGTTTATGGTTTAGGGTTTGGGGTTTAGGGTTTAGGGATTTGGGGTTTAGGGCTTAGGGTTTATTATTTGGGATTTTGGTAACCCCAACCCCCAAAATTAGGGCCATGTAACTATCATGTTATAGTCATAGGGTCCTAATTTGGGGAGGTTGGGGTTACCAAAATCCCTTGATTCTAGTTCGCAAAGTTCAGAGTCGCTTGCTTGCAGCACAGCTAAGCTCAAAGGCCTTTAATGCAACGATTTGGCTGCCGTTTGTATGCAGCATCACGGAGGCCCCTGAAACCATTCCTCGTTAAACTGAGACACTTTTTCCCCTAATAGTACAGTGCGAACGTGCCAGACCCAATATACAATACCATATTCTTTTCCATTTGATTCTCCACTGTGGGGATAATACCCCTAAACCCTAGATCCTGTCCCTACACCCTAAACCCTCTATCATCCCTTAAATCTTTCGTGACCTTCCGCTACCCTAAACCCTAAAGGATCCAAAAAATGGAACCCCTTAAGAATCCCTTAGATTCCCCAATGTAGTAATGGAGCCATTTTGGGGGGGTTCCATTTTTTGGATCCTTTAGGGGGTCTGGGTAAGGTTCTGCTTCCAGGACATCCTTCTCCACGGGAGCTGGATACGCTTGGAGCATGTGCTTGTGCTGCTCCATGGACCGGAGCCGCCTGTTTAGGGATTTAGGGTTTAGGGTTTTGGGTTTAGGGTTTAGGGTTTTGGATTTACAGCCATAAGCCCTGAACCCCAAAGTCTTTATTTTGGGTGGTTATTAAGGGGGATACTAGGAGTTTAGTGATTTACGGTTTGGGGCTTAGGCTTTTGGAACTGGGCTCGTGAATGGAGACTAAAATGGAAAAGAACGCGTAACATTAAATGGAAACTGGGTCCACATGGGGATATACCGGGCTTAGGGATGATACCGGAGTTTTGTGGAGGGCAACGGGCTACTCCACAGTGAAAAGATTAGTGAGAACACTTTTCAGTTAATATGGATGTGTCGCACGTCATGCTCCTCAAGGCATGGAAGGAACAATCATGCCAGTACTAACTTTCAGTACTCATTCTACAAACCACTCATGCAGCACCTGTGCTGTTACTCACACTGCGCACTGAGCCAGAAGAAGAAAAAATGGCCTGGAATAAGCAGGTCCTTTTACCTTCGAGGCCTCCAAACAACTATAAGCAACCGTACCCCCAGCCTTGAACTAGACTTAAATAGTTTTCTTACCCTAACCCCAGGAGCGAGACTTCCCCAACATGGTTTCTCCTACCATAATCTAAACTCCTAGCATCTCCCGAAATATCCCCTATACTAGTCATCTATGTAACCACATTTAAGGAGTTTAGACTATGGCTCACATGGAGCCTTGAAAGCCCGTAGGGCAAAGAGCTCTAATAACCTTGGGTACTGCCCCCCGCAGTAGCAGTCTATATTAGGGGTCCTATTAAGGGCTATATATAACCATATTGTAAGTATTATCCAACTGTTACTGAGGGGGGGCAGTACCCAACCTAAACCCTGGACCATAATAAGGAAGATCGTATGTAGGGGTCAGATTTGGGTCCCCCTATTTAGACCAGATTCTTTGGATTTGGGTTCTCAATGATACAGAATGCAAGGTTCAGCGCGAATAGTAGCATCCCCAACGGCATCCAAGATTCCATCTTCTTTGGGGTTGTTAGTCATCAGTTTAGGGTTTATCCGATGGCAAAAGGTCTAAGGAAGTTTCAGCTGTAGGGTACCCCCAAAAGGTACCCCTTCCTTCTGGTCTGGCCTTATCTCCTCAAACGCCTTGAGGTTGTCACTTCGGACTGTCTGGACCATCTCCTTGGTCTTGGATATCTCAGAGTCCAGCTCCTTCTGCCTCATGGTAGGAGTAGGGGTTTAGGGTTTAGGGTTTTGGGTTCAGGTTTAGGGTTTAGGTTTAGGATTTAGGGGAGACGAAATACAGGTGACATGTTGTACGAGTTATGCAGGGGAAGGAAAGTCGTTATGATACTATCTTGAACCAAGGGCTTGGGATAAGAGCATGAGGTTTAAAGTCTTGCTGAGCACCGGAGAATCGATTCCATTTTACAAAGGGCCCACAACAACAGGACTCTGTTTGTGAGAGCTTGCCTTATGGGTTTAGGGTTTAGAATTTGGGGATTGAGGGCTTCGGGTCTAGGGTTTAGAGATTTAGGCTTCAGCCTTGTCCTCTCAAAACGGCATCCCAACAACCTCATGTAAACCAAGTTGGCTTTCCAAGTCCCATGTCATCTTCCCTTTTGATTCTCCATTCTTGGGGTAAAATTGCTAAACTCCCTACATAATCCCTATATATCTGCTAGAGATGGTAGCTTTCAGAGGGTAATCTCCCTAGAATACGCTACACCCAGAGCCTTTTCCCTTTGGGCTCCACAAAGCTATGTTGGAGCACACCCAAAAGCTTCTACCCTAAACCTCAAAGTCCATTCTTGGAGCAGTATCCCTAAACCCTAAATCCGAGCAAGGACGAGACACAGTGGTTCCAGCAAGTTCTGCGTGTCCTATGACCAGGAATTATATAGGGTTATAGGGTCTATGTAGGGCTATTTAGGGATTTAGGATTGTTTTCCCTAAATATTCAAGATGTATAGGCACATGTACGGGCATATAGGTGTGTATATATATATATAAAGATATGTTATAGGGGCGTATAGGGATGATACATGGGGATGTTACCCCAAGAATCAAATGGAAAAGAACATGGAAAATGAAGTGGAAACTACTATATGTAGGGGATGTACTGCCCTATAATCTATCCCTGAGCTCTAAACTCTAAACCCTAAAAGCCCTGAACCCTATGCCGGAAGTGATGTGATGATTCTAGGAACCCCATAGCCGTACCCCACCTTGTCGACACTTCAACGCTGAATCTAGGGCCTAGGGTTCAAAGTTTGGGGCTGTAGGGTTTAGGGTTCAGGGCTTAGGTTTTAGGACTAGAACCAGGGATTCCAAGTGCCTGTGAGTTTTTTGCATCACTGTTGAATAGGTTTGGGCGATGCAGTTGGCATCCCCAACTTCAGGGCGATCGAGTTGCCGATCGAAGCTTGATGGCACTGGGGTAAATGACGTGGGCACATGTTCTTAGGGTTCAGTGTTCAGGGTTTGGGTAGATGACATAATTATAATAATGTGGGTTACTATTGGGATAATGGGGTCAAATGGAACAGAAAATGAAAAATGAAATGGAACCTGGGGTTATAACCCTGATACAGGGTTTCCATTTTCTTTTCCATTATCCCTATATAACCCCAATAGGTTATATTGGGTTTTGGCAGGTACTCTACAACCACCTCAGCCAATACAATGGCCTCTCAAGTACCTGCCCTCCTTCCAGTACCCCAAGACTTGGTCCAAGAGTGGCTCAAAAATTACTCGGATTCTGTAGATATGGCCATAATTAAAGGGATATAAGGACCCTGGTAGGTATATTCCTATTATATACCTACTATATTCTTGGGGTTCCCAGTTTGGGGTTCCCAGTAGAGTCCCTTTAATAATACCACTTTTGCAGTACTGGTGGCGGTAGCCGTATTAAGGCTGGAACTGCTAGCTTTGCTTCATCCCAAAGCGTCAACTGTAAACCCTTAAGGTTCCCTAAAGGGGTTTTGGATGGTTTTGGGGTTTAGGATTTAGGGTTTAGGATTTAGAGGTTCCCTAAAGTCCTGATTGATATGGACCCGCAGCTGATCCAGCTTGGCAGAAAGGTCTGTCCACATCTCCTCAGCGGCAATGCTTCTTGCACTGGCCTCAGGGCTCACAGGGTGCTTTGCAGGCTGGCTTCATTGCAAGAAACCGAAACATCAGCGAGCATCCCTCTGTTTGGCTCTATATATAGACATATATGCTTTGGATGTTCGGTTGCCCTCGGGCTGCATCCTTTTCAGTTCTTACCCCAAACTGATTGCACTAAGGCATAGATCCAGGGCAAACCCGGCCTCGTGCCGGGAGGGGCTGGTTCTGCGAGGAGAACGCCCAAAGGAATCATAGTCTGAGTGGCCAGCTGGCGTCAGGAAAGTGTCAATCTTGGTCCAGTTATGTCGCTGTTCATTTGCTTTTGCAATATCCAGCGTTCGGAAACTGGAAGTATTGGACGCCGGCCCGAGGGCGTAGGGCACTGAGCTCACATGCTTTGGGTCTGACTGGCGGAGCGGGTCACTCTCCGTGTAGCGCGCATCAGCACCATAATTCCGGAACTGCCCGGGACCAGACAAGACAGAACCTGCAATCGGTGCTGGCTCATTGCTTCCGTGGACAATGTTGACCGGGTCCTGGAAGCAGTGAAGCACTAACAAACTTCTTCAACCATCGGTTCCAAGACCTTGTGTGGTGGAGATCCACATGGAAAGCGAACTCATAATTACACCTCAACACTCTACTGCCTTCGTCTTATGGCCGTCCTTCCGTTGTCTGCTTGGAGACCCACGCTTTCCTCTTCGGGAGGAATCTGGCCGCCTTGCAGCTGGCATCGGGATCTCTACGGCCACATGCCGGCCGGACTCCGGGCGCTTTGCCGAGCGCACTGGAGGCGAGGCGGCATCGGTTGACATTTGCTAGGTAAGTGTATGTACATTGAAGCTAGCTTCGGGCAAAAGCTGCGGCAGGTAAACGTTCAACAGGTCCGGCGGCAACATCCGGATGAGAACGCGAAGGCTGATTCCAGCCCGCCCTATCCCGCCGTCTCTACAAGTACTGCTTGTGGCCCTGGACTTGGTGAACTGCCGTAAGGGTTGAGTCTCGCAATGAGCGTCTCCGCAGCATCTTCTGCAGCAACCTTGCTAGCAAAAGCTTCAATTTCTGCTCACTATGTTGCTGGCCAGCTATGCCCAGGCGCCTGCACGTCCCGCTGCCGGCTTCCAAATTTGTCCAGAAGCATTGGGAGGTTCCGGACCTCTGCATCCAAACCAGGACATGGGGGCGTTTCCAAAGTTGGGAGTCATTCCCCTTTTGGAGTCGCAATAAGGATAACAAAAAGGACCTTAGTAATTTGGGATGCATCAGGGGTCCCTTCTTGTTGGGAACCCCTAAATGAGAAGGGAGCAGGCTGAGGAAGGAGCCAGGAAAGGTTCTGCGGCCTGGGCGAAGCAGGGGATACTATCATATTATGGTATACTATAGTATAATATAGTATTCTCAAGACTGCGTTGGAATGCAGGCCTGTGTTTGGGGCATTGTTTTACACATTTTAGAAACCAAGGCCAACATTCCAAATCTTCCACTGGCTTTTTTCGGTTAGAATATACGATAGAATACTATAACGCAGTATAATATACTATAATATACTATACTTCATTGTCTCTCATGGATTTCGACAGTGCTACTCTTCAGCGTCCGGAAGATGCTCTCGTAAGTTTTTTCATCTTTATAAAGCCCTACACAACTCACAATTTATGGAGAGCTTTAATGCAGCCCCATTATGTGCTTTAACGACCTTCACGGGGTTCCCCACGCCACTCACATCTTCTTGTGTGGAGAAACTTTCTTCTTGCCAGTGTAATGGAGGTGCCACACCCTCTACATATTCTGGAATCCTCACGTAAATCTTCAGTGACAAAGTTCCGCACAATCCTGTTCATTTGGCTTCCCCTTCCTCTCAAATATCAGGATGGGCACGGCTTCAGGCCTCCATGGTTGAGTTTAGCTTCACCTTAAATTCGTTACTTGGTTTTCCGTAAGGCCTCTACTAAGCTATGCAGGGATATATGGAGATTACAAGAAGATTATTGGGGGTTCCGCAAAAAAAAGATGTACTGCTCACTTTGAATCTTTGAGTAGAAACAACTGGGTGCCAGGATGACAATGCTAAATGGCCACTGAACCCTGAATCCTACACCCATTGACACACACTGGGCCGTGAGCCCGCCCGACTTCTTCATGCAAGCTTGCCATGCCTGGCACAGATACGTACAGAAGGGACCGACCAATAATCGAGAATCAAATGGACAAGAAAATGAAAATGCGACGGAAACTATGTTTATATAGGGGTTGTATAATGATTAAGATGAGTAATTACCAACATCCTCTTGAGGTCTGTCATGCACCCTACAATACACTTATCAAGGTATCTGGGACCACAATATTAGGGGCCATATTAGGGGCTATATAGGGGTTACATAGGGGATCATGCACCCTACAATACACTTATATTGGCATCACGGGCTCGATTCCATGAGGCCTTGCAAGGCTGCCAGGCTGGTGGATGGCTCCCGCAGTAGAACCTGCAGTAACATCCATGAAATAATAACAGCAATAATACTACTGATAGTAGTTATCACAATAACAAAACATAATGATAACAATATTAGTAATTAGAAATAATAACTAAAATGACACTACTACTTCTACTTCTACTTCTACTATTACGACGACTACTACTACTACTACTGCTGCTGCTGCTGCTGCTACTACTACTACTACTACTACTAGTAACCACAGTAATAATAGCAATAAGTCCAGATTCATCGCGCTCATTTGAGTAGCGCTTCTTCTTGTGGTGCTCGAACCAAGTAAGGTTATGTTTCTTCTTCCGAGACATTATAGTTTTGCCTTGTCTTGCGACTCATTTGAGACGAGTGAATTCATGAAACACTTCACACATTTCAGAATCTGGCGTGAATCACCAAGATCGGCAGCCAAGTCTAGTCAGGGATAAGAGCACAATTCGAAGCACTGAGGCGCCAGCCCTCAGTGCAGCGCTAACAGCTGCACAGGCCTGATAAAGAAGCGAAGAGAGCGCGTCGTGAGATAGCGCGAGAACGTGAGCTGACTGAAAATGTGTAAGCGGAAGACACGCCATCTTGCAGTCTAAGCAGTGTGACTGACGGATGCACTACTTGCCGCATGGCTACACGCGTGAACATGGCAAAACTGCTCTCTGTGCATTATGTGGCGGCAGGTTAAGTTAACGGCCTGTCCACGCCAACTAATAAAATTCAGACATGAAGCCGCCCACGGACTTCAAGGTCATGCGGATCACTCCGAAACTGCGTGTGACAGCTACCCTCGCCGCATGCCACATCGCCCAGCTTTAATGCTTTAAGCTAGCGAGAAGTTTCTATAGTTCTGGCATCTTACGAAAGAGAGATCTCGTCTTGCTTTCAAACTTCAAGTCTCAGAAGGTTCCCACAATGCTCTGAAAGTAAGCGTTTTGGAACAAAGCGTGTCTGCACCCGAAACATAACGGCTTGCTGTAGGGCTCAGAGTCAGTAGTACTTGGACACAATGACCTTGGAGTTTCGCAAGATAGTCCAAGGGGCACCCAAAACACGCCCTCATAATTGCTGAAACACTACCCCAATATAACCCTATCATAAACCCTATAATAGAGTAGTTTCCATTTTATTTTCCATTATCCCGATATTACCCCAATATACCTAAACCCTAAACCCTGAACCCTAAACCAGTAGTTTCCATTTTCTTTTCCATTATCCTGTCCCGCCTGCACTGGCCGCTCCGCACCTGCGACCACCTTTCCACAGTCTTCGGCCTGAGATTAGAGGTGCTTAATGCCATGTGCTGATGCAGGGTTTACTGCTTCAAAAAAGTCAGGGGTCCTTCTTTTGGGCACCCTAGACAAAAAAGGGGCCTGTGAAACAGGGGACGCAAGAAAGAACTGCCATTTCTCACAAGACCCTCAACGTACTATACTCCTGATTGTAACTACCCCCAAAAAGGGGAACAAACAATACCTTTTTTGAAACCCTACATGAACTGTAATCCAAGATAATTCTCCCTGGTATAATCCCCTACACAACGCCCTTTAAGGAGTTTAGAGCCCCACTCAGATGTTGACATCGACTGAGGTGCCCCCACCCAGTACTAGTGACTGTGAAGGGAAATTGGTAACTATATTAGGCTCCTCTTGTATTCCGCTTTTCATAATACCACTATTACAGCGTGGGAGGTCCACCTAACAAAGCCTGCTGAAAGCAACCGCATACTTTGGGACCCTAGCAGGTCCCTGTGTAACCACATTATGGTAGTTTCCATTTTCTCCCCAATATATACCCTATTTTGGGCGGTTCCACTTTTTCCATTATCCCAAAATATTACCCAAAACCTTAAACCCTAAACCCTATGCTGTTATTTTTTAAGGCATGGTGCTGCAGTGAATGCTGGCAGTCACATCAATGGAAACGGCTGAAGGATACAATGAAGAAACTACTATAGTAGGGAAAATGGAAGCTATTGGGATTCTATAGGGCTTATAGGGATTATAAGGGTTATATTGGGCTTATATGGGGTTGCATAGGTATAATTGAAAAGAAAATGGAAAGTACTATATTCGGGTTATATTGGGGCTATATAGGGATAATGGAAAAGATGGAAGAAAATGGAAACGATTCTATAACGGGCAAGAATTATTCTTTGGCATTGTGATGCCAAACCGAAACTAGAGATTCGAACGGGCACGACTTCATGGCCCCTCCTTATCTGACCCATAGCTGGCTGGGAAGGTATTTGAAGGGGAGGGGATTATGAAGCCGGATGTAGAGTGCCGAGATCGCGACTGCGCCTGGCTGTCCTGAAGCCAGCTGACGCCTGGCTTAGGAAGGCTTCAGGAGTCAGCGGCCAAATTGAGGGGCTCCATAATATCGGGTGATATTGGGGGACATAAAACATAGGGTTTAGGATTTAGAAAAATTAAGGACGCCTTTTTGTGGGTTTCTATAAGAGGGATTATAATAGCATTTTGAGGTCTATGGAACTCCTGAACAGAGAGGCCTCTGCCAGCCAAGTCGGTGTAGAGTTTAAGGGTTTAAGGGTTTAGGAGTTTAGGGTTTAAGGGTTGAGGAGTTTAGGGTTTAGGGTCACCCTCTGATGTTGGAAGGGAGCTCCTGGTTTGCCCCTTTGCCGATCCAATCTCATACCCTGCAAAGGCTAAGCCGGAAGTTGCAGCTCAAAACGTCAAATTTCTCAGGATCATGCTTACTTGGAACATCTCTTTCAGACTCACCCCGGCAAGCCTCCCGATAAGTTGGGCGCGTACACGTACCCTGAAGTCGAAACCCAGACAACACATGCCAAAGGTTCAGCAGGTTCTTGATGGGCGGACCTTGGCAGGTTGGCTTTGGATCTTTTAGGGGTTAGGGCCTCAGGCTTCAAACTGACTTGGCCTTCTGACACTTCCGAGATCTTTGAGGTGCTTGTGCAAAGAAAAATATTTTGACCTAATAGCTTACAGTGAATTTGTGAGCCTCAACATTAAACGTGGGACTCTGGTTGTGATCGGTTCAAAGGAGAAAAAGAAGAGCTCAGCCTTTTTGCATATTGTCGTGCTCAACATTGCAGAGCCCTGGAAACCCTAGGGATATATGGAGATTCCAATCCGATTGCTGGGGTCCCCTCATACATTCATAAGGGCTAATAAATGCCAATAACATGCTGAGCACCTCCCATAACAACCATACTATTACAAGGAAGGAAACCCGAGCTGCCGGATTGTCTGCCGCTGTGATCAGATGCATCGTTTTCGGCAACGGCAACGCAATGCACGCAAAAAAATCCAAACAGAACCTCAAGTGGGCAGAGGCTTTGGCGAAAGCAGATT